TCGTTTCAATGTACCCCTACCATGGTCACGCACGGAGCGAATAACATTATATACATTAAACAAATTTTATTTTTTTTGCTTTGGTAAAAATTCTAATAACTTAATTTTATCTGACTCTGTTATATTGGCAATTCAGGATATATTTTAAATAAACCTATATTACTTCACCTTCTGCGTAGTAGATTAGAGACTTTTTAAAACAGAGGCAAAACAGCCAATACTACTGTGTATCTCATCAATTATTTACCAGTGAAGAAAAAAGATGGATCTGAAACATCTTCATATATATTTAGATGTTATGTCCACATACCTAATGTAATTATATATATATATATATATATATAATATATATATATATATATATATATATATAATATATATATATCTGATGTATTTATAAATCCTCAGAAAATAAAACACTTTACTTTCATATTACACTTCTTAAATATAAATCATCAACAAAAAGTAAAAAAATTCAACTATAGAGTAATACTATTTATTAAAAATTACAAAGTGTAAAATGAATTCAACAATACTCTTTTACTATTCATTGTCTTCATTATTCATAAAAATCTTTTCATCTTGCCAAGATACTTTTCCAGTTGAAGAAAAATATTCAGCATAGCAGTCTCTTATTCTTCGGGCTAAACTTGTAGACTGATTTACATTTCCATGTGTGATATGTGCACCATGCAAATCTGCTAAAGCACCTGAATTAAAGTTTATTTGTGATTCATTGCCTTCATCCATAAGTTTATCGACAGTTCTTATCATGTTGTGTAATACTACAGCACTTAACACTATATCATCTACTTTTGTAGGATTCACATTAATCACGCTTTCAAAAATCCGAAATTTTGAAACTAGTATTCCAAATGTGCATTCCACAACACCCCTTGCAAAAGCTAATCTATAATTAAATATTTTCCTTTTTCGATCAAGGGATCTTCTTGGGTGGCAGGTAGCACTCTTCTACAATCCCAGTAGAAGACAGGCTGCTACAGGGATTAGTGACCCTGCCCTTATGCTAGCTTCTGGTTCTCCCTCCTTCCCTGCCTGAGGGAACCAGGTCCTCATACCCTTTTCCTATCCCCCCTTTTAAACTCCTACCTTCATCCTACCCTCTACCAACTCGCACTGGCCAGCGCGGTAGAGTATGGCTAAAATCCAAGCATGTTTGACACGACAAAAACACGGCCCTCAGTCCCCGGCAGTGAGCTGATCCTTGGTCAAGGTAGCGATCAAGAAAGACAGCAAACAGAGGGTGCGAAGAATCCCCGGGTCAGATCAGGCTACCACGGACGACGACAAATGTAAATCGCCACGTACAATGTAAGAACACTGTCATCTGAAGAAAAATTACTGAATTAGAAGAAGAGTGAAAACACATAAAATGGACGTTATAGGTCTCTGTGAAGTAAGACTGAAGAAGAAAACTGTATAACTCTTAAATCAGGGCATCAACTTTCTATATGGGAAACAAAGAAAAAATAGGAGGAGTTGGACTTCTATACATAAGAGACACACTAAAAATATCCAACAACTTAAAGTATCAACCCAAGAATAATACTCTGCATACTGAAGCTTAATAAAAAAACCAGCCTTAAAATATTCAAGCCTATGCACCTACATCTACACACTCGGACGAGGAAGTGGAAACCTTTTATGAAGACCTAGAAAATGCTGTAAAACTAGCGCCTACTACACACAACCTAGTAATGGGTGACTTTAATGCTAAGTTGGGATGTAAACTAGACGGGACCGAAGTAGCAATAGGTCCCTATGGATTCGGACAAAGAAATGAAAGAGGCGAAATGTTTTTGGGTTTCTTGGTACGAAATGGCCTTTTTGCAATGAATAGCTTTTTCAAAAAAAGTCCCCAAAGAAAGTGGACCTGGGCAAGTCCAGATGGAGTCACCAAAAATGAAATTGATTTTGTCTTAACCAACAACAAAGACATGATCCATGATGTAACAGTTCTTAATAGCTGTTCAGTGGGAAGTGATCATAGAATGGTAAGAGCGAAGATCGTGCTAAATCTCCAAAAACAAAGATACAAAATGATAACAAAAACACACCCAATACAATGGAATCCAATCGAAAACACCACGTCCTTCGAAGAGGAAATTCTGAGATGTCTAGAGACAACAAATATAGAAGTTATGGATATCGAAACCTTAAATGATAACTTAATAAAAGCTATTAAGAACGCAGAGAAAAAGTGCAATACAAATTCTAGGAGAGATAAGGAGGAAAAGCTCAGTCAAGAAACAAAAAGACTTATGGAGGCACGAAGAGAACTTAAGAACAAAAACGATACGAATGCACGCGTACTACAACAACTTAATAAAGATATTAATAAAGCAGTGAGAAAGGACGTACGACAATATAACACAAAAAAGATTACAACGGTTGTCGAGAAAAATAAAAGTTTAAAGGTGCTGAAGAGATGTCAAGCTCTAGGTAAGAAGAACATTGTTAAGCTCGCAGATCGAAATGGAAAAGTGGTAACAGATAAAGATAAGATAATTAAGGTAGTTGAAGAATTTTACACAGAATTATATAGAGAAAGGGGGAAGAAAGACGGCACCAAGTTGAGAAAAGTCCAGAATGTGGGTTCAGAGGATATCCCAGAAATAACAACCGAAGAAGTTTTAAAGTCATTAAATAGAATGAAAAACAATAAAGCAGCTGGTGATGATCAAATCGTTATTGAGGCAGTTAAAGCAGGAGGAAAGACAGTATTGAAAGCATTGACGCAATTATATAACTTATGCCTTTCAAACGAGGTTACACCATCTCAGTGGAATAAAGCTGTTATAGTAGTCATGCACAAAAAGGGAGATATAACAGAGCTAAAGAACTATAGACCTATTAGCTTGTTATCTCACGTTTATAAGTTGTTTATGAAGATAATAACTAATAGGTTGACATCAAAACTAGACTTCTATCAACCTTGCGAGCAAGCAGGATTTAGAGCTGGATACGGAACAAATGATCATTTGCAAACCATTAAGTCGTTGATTGAAAAAACCATTGAATATAATAGACCCCTGATACTTATCTTTGTCGACTTTGAAAAAGCATTTGATACGGTCAATCAAAGTGAAATGCTCCAAGCTCTAACACAATGTAGAATAGATCACCGATACATATCTCTCATCAGATACATCTATCAACATGCTACAGCCTGTGTAAGACTTAATGAAGATACTGGGACTTTTCGTATTGAAAGAGGCGTTCGGCAAGGAGACAACATGTCTCCTAAATTATTTACAACTTTGCTAGAATACGCTTGTAAAACAATAGATTGGAACGAAAAGGGCATCAATGTAGATGGAAAATTTTTAAATAACCTTAAATTTGCAGATGATATCGTTCTTATTGCAGACAGCTTTGATCAGGCACAGATAATGCTCCAAGAACTCCATACTGCCACAAAAAGAGTTGGTCTTAAAATAAATTTTTCAAAAACACAATTTATGACAAATTTAGTCCACAACAAAAACATCTCAGTAGAAGACAAAGATATTGAGCCAGTTGACTCCTATAAATACTTAGGCCATGAGATCAGAATAAGTCGAGACAACCAAACAATCGAGCTGAAAAGAAGAATAAACCTCGCTTGGGCTGCATTTGGAAGGATGAAGGATATTTTTAGGTCTAAGATTCCAATGTGTCTGAAAAGAAAAGTATTTAATCAATGTATTTTGCCAGTGATGACCTACGGCGCAGAAACCCTAACGCTCACAAGAACAACAGTGAGTAAACTACAAGTTGCGGAAAGAGCAATGGAGAGAATTATGTTAGGGATTTCTCTACGTGATAGAATACCCAATGCTACTATACGCAAAAGATCAGGAGTAGCAGACGTTATTGAAAGGATAACAACACTAAAGTGGAACTGGGCAGGTCATGTAGCAAGATCAGTTGATGACCGGTGGACAAAAAGAATTTTGGAATGGAGACCCCGAATACAAGCATACAGAAATAGAGGTCGACCCCCAACGAGATGGACAGATGACATAAAAAGAGTGAGTACAAATTGGATTCAGATGGCGCAAAATCGGACTAAGTGGAAGAGCATGCGAGAGGCCTATGTTCAGCAGTGGACGTTAGAGGCTAGTTGAT